CTGTGGTGTTGGTTTTGATGGGGTGCTTAGACCCTTTCCATTGCGGTGGTCGCTTCTGAGGACGCTGGTTCTGTTGTGGCTTGCTAGGGGCTGGGTTCTGAAGGCTGGGAGGCTGGGGGGTGGCTGGGGAGCTCCAGGAGGCATTATAGAGGGTCCTGGGCTGGAGGTGGGCAAGAGGTATGGAGCCATACCTTCTGCACCTGGAAGGTGGCAATTGGTAACTCATAATACCCCTCCCAGAAGCCCTAGGTTCCTCTCCATGGAGACCAAGTTTCTGCCAGTCCCATCCCTTGTCCCACTGGGTTGTATTGGGCACCCAGGGAAGGTCTGCATCCTGGCCCTGTCCTGAGGAGAAGACAGGGAGGATGAGGCATCATTCCTTGGAGGACAGACATACAGGCAGGCATCCCTCCCTGGGCTCCCTCTCTGGTTGGGAAGGAGATTGAAGGGGGCAGCTACATACCCTCCCCACCAGTACCACGCCACACACGCCTCCTGCTCCTCCAGCACGAAGCAGGGGACCTCCAGTACATTGAAGAAGGCCACACCCACGATGTCCGAGATGGAGTCCTGCTGGTTCTTCAGGCATTGCTGGAACCTGCCCCAGAGCTGGCACTCAGGTCCCTGGACCACAGAGAGCCACCTGGCTCCTCCTCCAGCCCACCCAGTCACTACCATCCAGGTGGTTTGGGATCCAAGAGTCTCTTCTTCTCCTAGGGTCAGCTTTCCCACCTGCATGGTAGGGTGTCTGACTAGCTGATTCTTTAGGATTCTTTGGAATCCCAGTCTCTGCACCCAGGAACTACTCCACCCGTAAGTCCCCAACCCTCTCTGCCCACTGCCAACCTGGCATCACAGTCACAGTGGGAGATGGTGTGGAATCGGTAGTTTCTGATACCATAGCTGTACTGGAAGGGCGAGATGTTCTGTGGGCATCGGTCATGTTCCCGGCAGCAGAGATCAGGGCCTTGGAAGATCCCTGCAGGAAGCAGGGGCAGGGGCACCAGCTCAGCAGGGTCCTGGGCACCACACACTGGCTATGCCCATCCAGTGCAAGAAGCAGGGACCTTATTCTCACCCCAGCCCTGACACAGATGCCCTGGGCGGCCTCAGACCACTCTCTGTGGGACACTCAGTTTCAAAGCCTGAAGAGAGCACCCACGCGCAGCCTCTACTGGGCAGCTCCAAGTGCCAGGCAGCCCACCCAGGAGCCCTTGTCCAGGAAAGGGACTTACTCAGGGACTAAAGTCTGCCTCCAGAGCTCCCAAGCTCACACCCCAAATAAAACTCAGAAGTTATGAATGTGTGTGGAATGGAATGGCAAACAGGCAGGGTGCAACCTTTCTCATTGGCACGATGAAGCATTGTCAGGATGCCAGTCTGCTCCAACTCAGGTGCCAAAGCCTGCCCCCAGCCTGCCATGCATGCACAAAGACAGCTGTACTGACAGTGCAAAAAAGTCATCCATGTTTGTTTGTCAGTAAAAAGCAATAGTGCCTTTTACTGAGCATTTCCCAAGTGCCTGGCACTTCCCACACCCAAGCTTACAACAGCCCTGCGAGGGAAATGTCACTTTCATGGTTCAGGTGAGAAAACCAAGGTTCAGAGAGGGGAAGTGACCTGTTCAGCTTGAATTTGCTAACCCAGGCCTTTGGGTCTCAGTGTCCATTCCACTGGGCACCTTGTCCTCATAAAGCCTCCTCTTAGGTGATGGTGTTTTGGCTTGGACAACCTGGGACCCATCTCAGTCCACCCCCTCCCTGGGATGGTGATTAATGAGGACTCCAAGGTTTGACTAGGACGTTTCCCATCTATGACCTAATTCAAGCAACCCATGATGAGACTTATGGTCACCCCATTTTACAGATGAGGACATTGAAGTTTACAGTGGTTAAGTCATTCCCCCAAGGACACACAGTCTGGAAGAATGGGGGCCAGGGCAAAAGCCTGCACTTCCCTCCCCTACCCCCTAGTCCACATCCCCATCACTCACCCAACTCTGTGGAGTTTCCGGCAGAATCCCCGACTCCACACCACAGCGTGCCAGGCATAGTCCAGCCTCTCTTCAACCGCTGGTGTCCTATGCTGCTGGGTGCTCCTCTGTGTCCTTCTGCTTGCTCTTCCCTGACCCCTGCTGCTCGCTTCTCCCTAGCCCCTGCTGGACCCTCTTCAGTCCCTCGGCAGGCTCCCCACTGACTCTGAAGTGTGGCCAGGGCTCTCTGCAGCTCAGGTCCAGGGGTGTGGATGAAGGTGCCCCGGGTGATCTCACCAGTACAGAGAGCACTAAAGGCTGCAGTGAGCTCTGGCTCGACTTGCTGGCTACAAGATTGCAGCCTCCCGTGCTCATCCCAGTGGGTGTGGACCAGGGCCAGTCCCTGGGCATTCTTGCCCAGAAAGCTCAGGGTCCCCAAGGGGCTGCCGGGGATGGGCCTGGCCAAGTGGCAGGAGGTGCTGTCCCAGAGGAGGGCAGAGGAGCTCCCCACAGCCACTCCCAGGAAGCTCAGCATCCCTAACAGCACTACCAGAATCCCCATTCTGTCCTGGCCCAGCCCAGTCAGACAAAGCCCCCACAACACCTACCCCTGGCAGCCCACGAGGCAGCAGATTTAAGCAGCTGAGCGGAAGCGGTGCCCTGCAGACCCTGCGGCAGGGCCAATGAATGGAGCTTTGGGAGGAGTAGGAAGGAGGCTGGAGTATGGGGTGATCTCTGGCTTGTAACTGAATCCACCGGCTGGGCAGGCCGCTGATTGGCCAAGGAGTGTACTTGCCAAGGCCCACGCCCCCATTCACCATGCCTTTCTCATCCAGTCACCTGCTGCCAGCCCCGCCTGGATGGGGACTGTGGGAGCCAAAGCCTTGGGCCCTGGGGCAGGGGGCCAGGAAGGGATCCCTTTCTTCCTAGGGAGGGAAGAGGGTTCAGGGGCTCAGAGGAAGCTCCCAGAACTCATCTTTAGACCCCCACCCCAGTAGTGGCTGCCACACCCACCTCCATGAAGTTGGCAGAGGGCCATGGCCTCTACCAGAGTTGGGTGAAAGAGGTGAGGGCAGGGTTTGGGCCCTGTAGCTACCCCCCCCCTGGGAGTTCCTGAGGTTTCTGGTAAAGGGAGCATCCATCTCCTGGCCACCTGGAGTGTGCCCTCCCACCATCACCCAGGGTTGGTTCTAAGAAAGCCTCTTGGCATAATCAGGGAACAGCACCCCAGGGCTCTCTATTTCCTGGGACTCAAAGGCAGAGGCCAGGCCATGCAGCAACCCTCTTGATCTGATGGTGGAAACATAGCCAGAGCAGAACTTGAGAGCAACATGGGGCGGAGCTATGCTCCAGACTTAAAGGGACTATGGCCCCCAGAGGAGTAGAGGGCTGGGCAGCGGTCTCAGTCTGCAACCATCTCCATCCTTGGACTGTAGCCACCAGTGGGACACAGTAGCGTCATGTGCTCCCCAAGAGGAGTGGCCTCTCCACTAGGGAGAGTTTACAGCCAGCACGTGTTCCTGTGTCCCAGAGCTAACGTATCATTCGCCTTCCAATCATCCAGGGAAGTTGGGGTGCTTACACCCATAATGCAGATGAAGAAACTGAGGATCGTTGAGGGTGAGCAAACCTCAGGGACAGGATCTAGCTAGGGAGGGGTTAGAGGCTGGCAGTATAGTTCTTGGAAAGCTTTACTGGGAGATCAGAGCTGGTAGGGAAAGTGATTGTCTGTCATTCTTCCCATCAGCCTACTGCTCCTCCAACATTCCTCCCCAATCTCCATCCAAGTCTCTTCCAGGAGGGTGAGCCCCAGTGAGGCAGAGCCACGGGCAGAGCTGGGGGAGATGCTCACTGTGCATAGCAGGTAGAAGGGGGGCTTTAGGGTGTGCAGGCCCACCTCTATACTCAGAACCAGCCTGGGCCTGTGGTTCAGGAGGTCATGGCTGGGGACAATGAAGAGGGAGAGAGGGTGGGAGTAGCCCAGAGCCAAACTCCTTCTCTTCAGAGGTTGAGAAAAGGGATGTGGAATAGAGTGTGGTGGTGGGAAGGGTAGGGAGACCTGGGGTTCCTAAAGGTAGGAACACCACTGAACAAAGGTGGGTCCCTCTAGGAAGAATTCTAATGTTTTGAAACCATTGTTCTGGTAATTTTCCCTAACTGGAGGAATGGCCACCCACCTCTGCCCACCTTTTCCATATTACAGAGCTCATTACCCACGGTGGCTGGGAGGTCCCATGGCAGGAACCCAACTTTCAAGGTCAAACAGACCTATCTGGGGTATTGACACTGTGTGACCTCAGGCTTTGAAGTCTTAACTTCTCTGAGCCTCAGTCTCCTTATCTGTATGATGGGTCTTATCACAGTAGTCAGTTCACGGGATATTGGGTAAAACTCTCCACCCAGGGACTGGCATCTAGGATACTGTCACTAAAGTCTCAGGACATCCCTGGGCAGGAAGCAAATTGACCAGGAGAAAGCAAGTCTCCAGATTTTCAGGCCTCAGCATCCATCAAATTTAGTTCCAACTAGGCCATGACCTGGTTTTGTGACTTCAGGCTTGTCCCTCTCCCTCTCTAGGCCTCAATTTCCTCCTCTGTACAGCGAAGAGCATGATGGCAGTGACCTTTGAGGTCTTTTTTAGTCTGGGCCCCAAAAGAAGGCAGGCTGGGGCCTGCCCAGGCCTCAAGGGAAGGTGTCACTGGGTTTTCCCTTCAGATTCCACCCAGTGGCCACGTCAGTCAACCTACAGGACAAGCTTTGGAGCCCTGCCTCCCATTGGGTGCCCCTCAAAAGCCTTGCCACAGAGGATGGCAGGAGCCAAACCAGCAGGACAGGATAGGCCAGGCCCTGCAGACAAAAGGGGAGCTGAGGCTTTCTTCTGGATCCCCACCTGTCTGGAGTGGGGCAGGGTTCACAGTGAGTGAGTGAGGGGCAGGGGTCTGTGGGGTCTGATCCTTTATCGCTCTTTTCTGTCCATCGGTCCCCATCGCTCTGTCACCTTTGGCTTCTCTCTCATCCTTCTCTCCCTTGGTCTCTTTCCCTCTCTGGCCCTGATTCTCCTCATTTCTTTCTCTCTCCTGTATCTCTCCCTCTCTCCATCTTTCTCTGACTCTAACGCTCCATCTCATTTTCTCCCTCCATTTCTTTTTCTTTCCTCTGTCTGTGTGGCTTTTCACTGCCCCTCCCCCTGTGTTATTGTCTCTGCTTCTCTCCCTCCCTCCCTCTCTCTCTAACTCATTTCTTGTGCCCTTGTGTCTCTGAGGATCCCTGTCCTCTCCCCTGGCTCTCTTTCCCTCTTTTTCCTGTTTCTCTCTTAATTTTTATCCCTCTCTCTGTTTTCCTTTTTGTTTCTTGGGGTCTTCTGGTTTTTCTCCTCCCTCCCTGTTCTCTTTCTTACTCATTCCCTCATTATGTCTCATGGTTTCCTCACTTATGTGTGTGTCTGTGTGTCTGTGTCTGTTTCTCTCCCCTCATTCTTCTCTCTTCCTTCCTTCTCTGTTTGTTCTCCCCCTCCACACCCTCACCCCAGGCCCAGGACCCAGGGTACCCAACCTTTTCCCAGCCATGGTCTCATCTGATGCCCACAACCCCTGCCCCTCCCTAGGGAAACAGGCAGGGTAGGGCTTCTCATCGACTATTGAGATGGATGGAGAGTCTCCAAAAGGGAAGTAACTTGCCAGGAGTCACACAGTAGATTTGGGAAAAGCCAGGTCAGACTTTCCTTGGGCTGTGGGGAGGATTTTCCGTGATCCTGGGAGACTCTCAGCTCCCCTACCACCTCCCCATCTCAGGGACTTCCTCCCCACTGCCTGGAGCCCTTGGAGCTTGCCTTCTCTACCCCACCAGGAGGGCTCTCTGCAGCTCTCTGTGCCAGGAGAATGGTGTGGGCAGTGCCTAGCTCCAGAACATTCTGCATTCATTCAAAAACAAATAGTTACTGAGTGTCCACTACTGCCAGGCACAGGGGGAGCCCTGAACAGAAAGAGGAGGGAAGGGGGACAGAGCATGCTCAACTAGGGAGATGGAGAAGAACTCATCCCCTGAGGGGACAGGGTCTGGCAGCCCAGGGGAGCCAGGGCCTGAGTGTCACTTGGGTCCTCTAGGAAGCCACCACTAAGATGGAGCTAGAAGTGCAAGAGACTTATTGGAGGAAGTGCCTGTGAAAGATAAAGGGGGGAGGGAAGAAGAAGGATTGGGCAGGGAAAGCCTTCAGACTGTGTTGCAAGTTTGACATCTATGGGGAGAGAGTAGAAGGGATGGAGAACTGGGTAAGAGCATCACACTGAGGTGCCACTCTGAGCAAACATCAGCCAGCCAACAGGGAGCTCTGATGTAAAAATTGCCCATGGAAGAGCCCTGGCTGGGCAGAAATAGGCAGGCCCTAGTGCCTGGCTGTGCCCAGTCATTGGTTGGGGGCTGTCCAGGAGGACAGTGGCATCCACTCCAATGCTGCTACAGATGCTGATGCTGCCACACCTGGGAATTTATCTACCCATTTGGCTGAGGCAGCCCCCACTACAGACCAAAAGAGGAAACTCAATGGGCAGATGGAGTCTAAAATCTGGGAGGAAGCCCAGAAGGCAGTCTTCTCTGTGGTACAGGACGATCCCTCATAAGATTTCCAGGTAGGAGTTCAGCCCCAAGAATACCTGGTATAAACTAAGCCTAGTCCTAGGTCTGAGGGAATAAATAATGAGACACACTGTATTTAAAACTAGACATCTCAATATGTAGAAAAAACACATTAGATTCAATTCAACAGCTTATTAAACTAGAGTAGAAAAGGGAGAGAGAGAGAGAGATGGGGAGTCAGAGGGACCATGGAAGCTATTCTAATTGAACATTAGAAGCTGTGGTGGTTTAAAGATGGGCACAAATTCTCTGATACCCCTCCCGTAAAGTGGTGTAGACTACTTCCTCTCCCCTTCAGTGTGAACTGTACTTAGTCACATGTTTCTAATATATAAAATGTGGTGGACCTGATGTAACTTCTGAGACTAAGTCATAGAAGGCATTGTACCTCCCTCCTTGCTCTTTCTCTTGTATCACTTGCTCTGGGGAAGCCAGTTGACGTGTCATGAGGACACTCAAGCAACCCTATGAAAAGGCCTATGTGGTGAGTAACTGAGGGCTCCTGTCAACAGCCATGCAAGTGAGCCACTTGGAAGCAGACCCTTAAGGCCCAGTCAAGCCTTCAGATGAATACTGCACCACCTGGCCTCCCCTACACCCACCGCCTTTGGTAATAGCTTTATTGAGATATGATTCACATACTATACAATTCACCCATTTAAGTATACAACTTAATGGTTTTAAGTATATCTAAAGTTGTGGAACCATCCCTAGTTATAGCATATATTAGAACTTCATTCCTCTTTAAGAGTGGATAATATTTCATTGTATAGATATACCACATTTTGTTTATCCATTCATTAGCTGACAGACCTTTGGATTGTTTCCACTTTTTGGTTATTATGAATAATGCTTTCACAAACATTCGTGTAAACATTTTTGTGTGAACATATGTTATAATTTCTCTTGGGCACATACCTAGGAGTAGAA